TCTAGAATCCACACGTCTAAGTAGCCCATTACGGCCATTTGGGTACTTAAAGTTGACATTATAGACAATGTTATTATGTAAAAATAAAAATGTTTAAAAATGCTATAATCAAAAAAAATCAAAAAGGAAAATATTTCCTTTTTTTTATACGTTGCACATTGATGTTAAAAATGTACAATTAAAGCCCATAATAACACGGAAGAAATACATTTTTTTTCATTAAGTTTCGTTAAAAGGTTTCCAAGATACAGCACTTTAAAGAAATGTATGTATGACGTTTTCTTAAAATTTAAGTAATTTAAGTTCATATCGGCAAAATATGCTGCATGTCACCTAGACCTTCAATCTCTTCAACTTTCATACAAATCCTTAGAGGTAGCGCACAGAGGTGGCCGCGGTGACATGAAATGCCCCATATATACAAAGAAAAGGTTGAGCAAAGCGTTGCACATTTTAATTTTACTGTAAATCAATTATTTGAAGAGTATGTGGCTAAACGCATGTGGGTTCCTGAAGAACAAACACAGTTATGGTTCACTAAAGTACTGAGAAATTTGAAAAACAGAATGTCACGTTATTTTAGACTAGCTTATACCCGCGGGTTTCACCCCGCGCTTTCATACAAATATGAAAAATAACTTAATGATGTTAGATTTTATTTCTGTGCCCATTTCGTTATAGCTCGTTATTTTTTATGCGAGTTAAGGTATTTAGGCCGTTTAAAACTATAAAATTATAAAATCTCCTCTGCGCGCAAGGCATACGAAAGATATCAATCCCTCTAAGTTTACCTTAAAATGGTTCCTGGTATACGACGCGTGTACGTGTAACCTTCTTGAAGGTGCCACGGTGGGTTTTAATATTTCCAACTCAAATTTAGTAACCTGGCCTTGATAAAATACCACTTCTCATTACTGTAGCAAATGCCTCAAAAGAGCTTTAGGTCATAAGGCCGAACCCGGCTCTCCCTTTTCTATTTAATGAAATTTATTCTAGAGATATGTATTAAGAAGTTTTTAGTATGTATGGGAGGCGACATGCCTCCTTTTTTAATAACTCACATTTTTTCCATGAGCAATTCATACATTTTACATTCACAACTCCATACCAAGTTCCAGTATTCTTCCACAAACACTTCCAGGGATACGTGGTAAGAAAAAGTAAATTTGTACTGGAAGTGCCACGCCCTTTTTTCTTATAACCCTAATCTTCTTCCATGAATTTAGAACTGATTTTACATACCCCAGTACCAAGTCCCAGTACTCTACCTTGAACACCTTTAGAGATAAGCAGTATAGAACAGTAAATTTGTACGGGAGGAACCATGTCCCCTTTTCTAATAACGCAAATTTTTCTCAATGAGTATGGAATTAGTTTTGTATACACATCTCGGTGCCAAGTTCCAGTCCTCTGCAATAAGAAATATGCAGCATAGAAAAATCAATTTGCGTGGGAGTTGCCACACCACCTTTTCCAATAACACTGTGGAACAAATTCAGGTTAGCAAAAGTTAGGTCGATTCTGAGAGTGCGGGGTGAAAATAGAGGCTAAATTAGAAGACCCGTATCGCGGCGTTTGTTTATGTTAGTTCGAATTTTTTTTTAATGGACCTTCGAACTTTGCAGTCAAATGCCGATTTTCAGCATATTGTTTATATGGTTTTTTGGCTATAACTCGTCGACTAACTGATATTTTTTTAATCTGTTACAGCCAAATTATTGCTAGAGGCCTGTGCAACAATTAAAATAAAAAAAATTGATTTAGAAAATTTTTGTAGTGCTTATGAAGCAGAATGTTGGAAATTTTTATTTTTTCATGCTTTTTGAACATATTTTGCACAAAACTAAGTCTTTTTTGCTTTCTGTTTGATCTATAATATGCTTATCAGTTTCTTCAATAAATTTCGTTTGAAAAGAAAACAATCATAATACAAAACTTGCGTTTTCCAGCTTAATAATAATTTTCTTCTCATTTCTTATGTACCAATTTTTTCAGTGTTGGTTTTGAAGAAACATTGAAAAAGAAATTATAAAAATATGGAAAAAAATATAATTTTGAAATGTTAGTTATGAAAAGTTTTAAGTAAAAAAATTAAATAAATTAAATTAATGATTTGGCCAGTTGCCGTTTAGCAGGCGGCTGTGGATCAACATCACTTCTCTCTCTAATATCTTGGTCATCGTCATCATCATCAGAAAGGTGGTTAATTTCGTCCAACAGATATTCTGGAATTTCATCTTTGTCTTCCCCTTCTGAAAAAAAAAAATTTCCAACATTTTGCTTCATAATCACTACAAACATTTTCTAAATATTTTTTTTTTTTTAATTTTAATTGTTGCACAGGTCTCTAGGAATAATTTGGCTTTAACAGATTGAAAAAATATCAATTAGTCGACGAGTTATAGCCAAAAAACCATATAAACAATATGCTGAAAACCGGCATTTGACTGCAAAGTTCGAAGGTCGATTAAAAAAAATTCGAACTAACATAAACAAACGCCGCGATACGGATGTTCTAATTTAGCCTCTATTTTCACCCCTCACTCTCAGAATCGACCTAACTTTTGCTAACCTGAATTTGTTCCACAGTGTAACTCTCATTTTTCTCCATGAGTATGGTATTAGTTTCACATACATATGTATTTCCATACCAAGCTTGAGTGCTTTATCCCAAACATTTGAAGAGATACGCAATATGGAGCTTTCAGTCAGTATGTGAGGAGCTACGCCTCTTTTCCAAAAACGTCCATTTTTCTCCGTCAATATGAACATGGTTTTACACAGTGTTGGCAAACTGTTAATCTGATTAACGATTAAAAATTAACGATTAAAATGTTAATCGCGTTTAAAGATTAAAATTAATGAGTCGTAATCAACTGCACGATTAATGATAACATTTTTTTAATCGTTAATCGCTGGCTGCGATTACGTTTAATTAATTTAAAACATTAATCGTTAATCCAATTTAAAAAAAATCTGATTATTTTGTCTAGATTGTCCGAGTTTGAAACCAAACACCAGTTATAGTAATTGTTTTGTGTTTTACGCTTATAAAAAGCACATAATATAAAAAAATTATAATTATTGTTGTTAGTAATACATAAACTGGGAACTTTTACAAACCTAGTTTTGTAAAACATTTGTTGGTATATATCTTAATGAAAATACACACCAAATTGCTAAGATTGATGAGGAAGCCCGACTTAGCCATACCGGATTAACTTGCTTTGCTGTGCACAGGGAAATTCAAGCATAACCTAATTAATCACCAAACCTACTTGATCAAATTAAGAGTTAACGATTAAGAAATTAATTTTTTAATCGCGGTTACGATTAACTGTTTAGTCAGATTAAAATTAATCATGATTAACTGTAATCAGATTGAATTAATCGAATTAACTAACTGATTAAAACATCAATCGATTAATGCCATCATTGATTTCACATACATATCACTATACCAAGTTTCAGTTCTCTCACACAAATACTTCCAGAGATATGTATGTAATATGAAAATTCCAATTTGTATGGGAGGGTCCTTGAGTTATCGGACTTACTTTCAGTCTAAGACCATCCTTCCGAAATCCGTAGTAAGTGTACTAAATTTCGATCGGATCGGAAACCCGGTTAAGGAAGTAGCATATTTTTCAATCCAGGTCATAAACGATCTTTGAACAAAATTTCATTTTCAAACATGTGGCAATTCTTAAAAAAGTAGCCTATTTTCCAGTCTAGGTCATAAGCTATCTGTGTGCAAACTTTCATGCAAATCAGTTCAGTCATTTACGCATATTAATTTAATTAAACTTTCCTAATACGTAATAACTCTTAAAATAGTAGCCTATTTTCCAACATAGGTCATAAGCTATCTCTGTGCGAAATGTCATGCAAATCTGTTCAGTCGTTTCCGTTTATTAATTTAATTAAAACTTTTTTAGCAGGTGGCAACTCTTCCAAAAAATTAGCCTATTTTCCACTGTAGGTCATAAGCTATCTGCTTGCAAAATTTCATGCAAATCCGTTCAGACTTTTCCGCGTATTAATTTAAATAAACTTTTTTAGCAGGTGGTAACTCTTAAAAAAGTAGCCTATTTTTCAACGCTAGCTCATAAGCTATCTGTGTGAAAACTTCCATGCAAATCAGTTCACTCATTTCCGCGTATTAATTAAATTAAACATTTCTAACAGGTGGCAACTCTTAACTTTCTAACCTAGGTCATAAGCTATCTGTGTGCAAAATTTCATGCAAATCCGTTTAGTCGTTTCCGCGTATTAAGTTAATACAACTTTTTTAACAGGTGGCAACTCTTCCAAAAAATTCGCCTATTTTCCACTGTAGGTCATAAGCTCTCTGCTTGCAAAATTTCATGCAAATCCATTCAGTCATTTCCGCGTATTAATTGAATGAAACTTTTTTAACAGAAAAGTATCCTATTTTCCAATCTAGGTCATAAGCTATCTGTGTGCAAATTTTCATGCAAATCCATTCAGTCGTTCCCGCAAAAATTAAATAAATTAAACTTTTTTAACAGGTGGCAACTCTTAAAAAAATACGGTATTAACCAATCTGGCTCCATAAGCTATCTGCGCACCAAATTTCATGCAAATCCGTTCAGTCGTTTCCGCGTGATGATTTCCCAAACATCCCAACATACAAACTTTCACATTTATAATATTAGTAAGATTACACAAAGAAACCAGTTAACAATCATACTATGTAAAATACTCACTTTTGCGTCATAAGTTTTTTGAATTAAACAAAAAATGTTATAAAGCTTACTTGTGTAAAATCAAACTACGTATAATATGTAACCCCAAATCGTTTTATGATTTCTTAAACTCCAAGCGAAATGTACGTGAGTTTCCTTCCACCGTGAAGTATCAAAATACCGTCTCTAGTGATAAACAAACAATTTCTAACATGTTCGTTCAGTTTTTTAAATCCCATTACTCCATTAACTCCCAATTATACTTTGACTATTCTTTTAAACTAAGTCCAATTAACTCAATACATTCCCCAATAATATCTTCCGATGATGTATTAGTTTACCTGAAGTCCTTAAAGCAGTCTTTTAGTTATGGTCTCGACCAGATCCCCACTTGTTTTCTTATAAATTGTGCTGATTATCTCTATGAGCCGTTAACAGCCTTATTTAATTTGTCTCTTAAAGAAGACATATTTTTAACCGTATGGAAGGAACCGTTCATAACCCAGCTAAATAAAAGCGGTAGCAGGTCCTCGGTGGAGAACTATCGGGGCATAGCTAAGCTCTCTGCAATTCCTAAATTATTTGAAGCAATTATTACAAATCAGTTGACGCATTCTATCTCCTCTACCATTTCATATAGTCAACATGGGATTTGCAAAGGCAAATCAACTTAAAAAAATGTACTTGAGTTCACAACCTATATCTCAAAAGCGTTTAGTGGAAACAAATTATGTTATATATGCCGACTTCAATAAAGCATTTGACAAAGTATGTCACTCGTTGCTCATCTATAAACTTGATCTTCTTGGTCTTCAACCTAATTTTCTACGTTGGATCTCTTCATACCTCTATGATAGATCACAAATGGTTATGTTTAAAAATACTATTTCTGACGTCATTCAAGTTACTTCAGGAGTCCCGATTCTGTTCTTGCTTTATATAAACGATATTTCTACAGATATAAAATTTAAAAAAATTTTAATGTACGCAGATGATTATAAATCGTACGTATCAATCAAAGAAAAACATTTGCTACAAGCAGACTTATCGTAAGTTAGCCAAGACTTAGACTTAACTTAGTTCTCTTAGAAACGTAGAGATTCTTACTCAGCACGTCATCACACTTTTGACATTTTCTTCTTCGTTTTGATTTGCGCGTTTTCTTTGACATTTCGTTTTGTTTCGCTCAAGTTGTTTGAAATTTCATTCCGTTATTTAAATTCTGTGAAAACGCTATTTTGTGTGAATAATTTTAAAACTAAAAAAATGCGTGTGTCACACCGTACACATGATAGAAGTGAAACTTCATAAAAAAGGCGTGAGTACCAGGTACCTACTCACGATATTGGATGTGTAAACATATGTTTACGGTTCGGCAAACCATTAGGCGATTGAGTTACATACATAGGTTTGGTTAGATATCAAACAATAATTTCATTTCATCTTATTAATTTTCTGATATACATATAATTTATTTATTCATTTATTATTATTTATTATTCGGGCTTCTAGCATCCATAGGACCGGGTTGTAATGAAAATAATTGTATGTTTAACAAATAAATGAAAATATTTATAATGCAATCAATAGATCCTTACGAGTTCGCCATTACCAAGGCACTAAGTAACGTACGCACTTTTGTTTGTAAAATGCATTTATTTAAGTTGAAAGAAGACAAATTCCTTTGTTCGGCATTTATTCTTACTCGCTTTCTATCTTCCAAGGCGAATTCATATATTCTTATCACGAATTCATATATTCATGTGGTAGCAAGAGTATAAAAACATAAAATTACCTTATAAATGAAAAGCATAAGTATACATGTACGCGAAGTCCAATTCACGAAATCATTTCATCGATCTGAGTAAACACTAAGTGCATAAACTCTATTTCGCGTTAATTGAAATCATGAAACGGTGTTCATTCATTCAGTTTCTACTCAAACGCATGAAATGATTTCATGAATTGGCCTAGGCATAATGGTAGTAAATGACAGAATGAATTACAACAAACACATCCTTTTGACATAATGCAAGCCGAAAACGTTGGTTCAAATCAATCCGCAATCAAGTTGGACGTTTTGCCCACAAACATTGCAATTTTGTGAGGAGTCTCATTGTAAAATCTCATTTTTACAATTTCATAGTTTCGGCTTACATTTATAAAATTCAACGAAAGCACGCACCTATTTCGGCTGAGTTATCCATTTTCGGTTATTTAGTGTACAAAATAAACGCAAATTAAATGAGTTTGTACAACATGGCCATTAATGTAGCGATAAGTTATACAACTTGCCAGAAAATCCAAATTTTTTGATCTTTCATACAACCAAGACATAAATTCATTCAGCCACAAACGGTGCAATCTAGAGCAAAACAACACCAAGATAAACCACCGGTCGCTACGTTTATGGCGTTCTTTAAGAAACATCGGGCGAAAATTTCAACTGCTCCTGTAACACTAACTTATATAAGTTGGCCTTGCTATCATCCTCACGTATGTTAATCAGAGTATACCACGAAGGGCGAGTTAATACAAGGAGATAGCGAGAGCACAAAACTACTCTAGAAAATTACACGCACAATGACAAACATGAACAAATGTACAACAAACACATAATTTTTGACAATCAGTACAGTTCGCATTTATATCAACGAGCAGCTTTGCTAGCTCTAATTAGATTTGTTTTCGTTTGTACTACATATGTACATTAGGCTGGGTCGATTTTGTATGGGGGAAAATAAAATGCATTTGCCCGTATTGTAATAGTAATATTATGATGTCTTATGTCTAAGCCAATTGTTATTGGCCACGAAAGATTAATTAATGTATGAATTTTGAAAATGGAACTTTGGCTAGTAACTTGGTAATGGCGATTTCGTAAGGATCTATTGATTGCATTATAAATATTTTCATTTATTTGTTAAACATACAATTATTTTCATTACAACCCGGTCCTATGGATGCTAGAAGCCCGAATAATAAATAATAATAAATGAATAAATAAATTATATGTATATCAGAAAATTAATAAGATGAAATGNTGACGCATTCCATAGATATTACTAGCCAAAGTTCCATTTTCAAAATTCATACATTAATTAATCTTTCGTGGCCAATAACAATTGGCTTAGACATAAGACATCATAATATTACTATTACAATACGGGCAAATGCATTTTATTTTCCCCCATACAAAATCGACCCAGCCTAATGTACATATGTAGTACAAACGAAAACAAATCTAATTAGAGCTAGCAAAGCTGCTCGTTGATATAAATGCGAACTGTACTGATTGTCAAAAATTATGTGTTTGTTGTACATTTGTTCATGTTTGTCATTGTGCGTGTAATTTTCTAGAGTAGTTTTGTGCTCTCGCTATCTCCTTGTATTAACTCGCCCTTCGTGGTATACTCTGATTAACATACGTGAGGATGATAGCAAGGCCAACTTATATAAGTTAGTGTTACAGGAGCAGTTGAAATTTTCGCCCGATGTTTCTTAAAGAACGCCATAAACGTAGCGACCGGTGGTTTATCTTGGTGTTGTTTTGCTCTAGATTGCACCGTTTGTGGCTGAATGAATTTATGTCTTGGTTGTATGAAAGATCAAAAAATTTGGATTTTCTGGCAAGTTGTATAACTTATCGCTACATTAATGGCCATGTTGTACAAACTCATTTAATTTGCGTTTATTTTGTACACTAAATAACCGAAAATGGATAACTCAGCCGAAATAGGTGCGTGCTTTCGTTGAATTTTATAAATGTAAGCCGAAACTATGAAATTGTAAAAATGAGATTTTACAATGAGACTGCTCGCAAAATTGCAATGTTTGTGGGCAAAACGTCCAACTTGATTGCGGATTGATTTGAACCAACGTTTTCGGCTTGCATTATGTCAAAAGGATGTGTTTGTTGTAATTCATTCTGTCATTTACTACCATTATGCCTAGGCCAATTCATGAAATCATTTCATGCGTTTGAGTAGAAACTGAATGAATGAACACCGTTTCATGATTTCAATTAACGCGAAATAGAGTTTATGCACTTAGTGTTTACTCAGATCGATGAAATGATTTCGTGAATTGGACTTCGCGTACATGTATACTTATGCTTTTCATTTATAAGGTAATTTTATGTTTTTATACTCTTGCTACCACATGAATATATGAATTCGTGATAAGAATATATGAATTCGCCTTGGAAGATAGAAAGCGAGTAAGAATAAATGCCGAACAAAGGAATTTGTCTTCTTTCAACTTAAATAAATGCATTTTACAAACAAAAGTGCGTACGTTACTTAGTGCCTTGGTAATGGCGAACTCGTAAGGATCTATTGATTGCATTATAAATATTTTCATTTATTTGTTAAACATACAATTATTTTCATTACAACCCGGTCCTATGGATGCTAGAAGCCCGAATAATAAATAATAATAAATGAATAAATAAATTATATGTATATCAGAAAATTAATAAGATGAAATGAAATTATTGTTTGATATCTAACCAAACCTATGTATGTAACTCAATCGCCTAATGGTTTGCCGAACCGTAAACATATGTTTACACATCCAATATCGTGAGTAGGTACCTGGTACTCACGCCTTTTTTATGAAGTTTCACTTCTATCATGTGTACGGTGTGACACACGCATTTTTTTAGTTTTAAAATTATTCACACAAAATAGCGTTTTCACAGAATTTAAATAACGGAATGAAATTTCAAACAACTTGAGCGAAACAAAACGAAATGTCAAAGAAAACGCGCAAATCAAAACGAAGAAGAAAATGTCAAAAGTGTGATGACGTGCTGAGTAAGAATCTCTACGTTTCTAAGAGAACTAAGTTAAGTCTAAGTCTTGGCTAACTTACGATAAGTCTGCTTGTAGCAAATGTTTTTCTTTGATTGATACGTACGATTTATAATCATCTGCGTACATTAAAATTTTTTTAAATTTTATATCTGTAGAAATATCGTTTATATAAAGCAAGAACAGAATCGGGACTCCTGAAGTAACTTGAATGACGTCAGAAATAGTATTTTTAAACATAACCATTTGTGATCTATCATAGAGGTATGAAGAGATCCAACGTAGAAAATTAGGTTGAAGACCAAGAAGATCAAGTTTATAGATGAGCAACGAGTGACATACTTTGTCAAATGCTTTATTGAAGTCGGCATATATAACATATGTTTCCACTAAACGCTTTTGAGATATAGGTTGTGAACTCAAGTACATTTTTTTAAGTTGATTTGCCTTTGCAAATCCCATGTTGACTATATGAAATGGTAGAGGAGATAGAATGCGTCAACTGATTTGTAATAATTGCTTCAAATAATTTAGGAATTGCAGAGAGCTTAGCTATGCCCCGATAGTTCTCCACCGAGGACCTGCTGCCGCTTTTATGTAGCTGGGTTATGAACGGTTCCTTCCATACGGTTAAAAATATGTCTTCTTTAAGAGACAAATTAAATAAGGCTGTTAACTGCTCATAGAGATAATCAGCACAATTTATAAGAAAACAAGTGGGGATCTGGTCGAGACCATAACTAAAAGACTGCTTTAAGGACTTCAGGTAAACTAATACATCATCGGAAGATATTATTGGGGAATGTATTGAGTTAATTGGACTTAGTTTAAAAGAATAGTCAAAGTATAATTGGGAGTTAATGGAGTAATGGGATTTAAAAAACTGAACGAACATGTTAGAAATTGTTTGTTTATCACTAGAGACGGTATTTTGATACTTCACGGTGGAAGGAAACTCACGTACATTTCGCTTGGAGTTTAAGAAATCATAAAACGATTTGGGGTTACATATTATACGTAGTTTGATTTTACACAAGTAAGCTTTATAACATTTTTTGTTTAATTCAAAAAACTTATGACGCAAAAGTGAGTATTTTACATAGTATGATTGTTAACTGGTTTCTTTGTGTAATCTTACTAATATTATAAATGTGAAAGTTTGTATGTTGGGATGTTTGGGAAATCATCACGCGGAAACGACTGAACGGATTTGCATGAAATTTGGTGCGCAGATAGCTTATGGGCCAGATTGGTTAATACCGTATTTTTTTAAGAGTTGCCACCTGTTAAAAAAGTTTAATTTATTTAATTTTTGCGGGAACGACTGAATGGATTTGCATGAAAATTTGCACACAGATAGCTTATGACCTAGATTGGAAAATAGGATACTTTTCTGTTAAAAAAGTTTCATTCAATTAATACGCGGAAATGACTGAATGGATTTGCATGAAATTTTGCAAGCAGAGAGCTTATGACCTACAGTGGAAAATAGGCGAATTTTTTGGAAGAGTTGCCACCTGTTAAAAAAGTTGTATTAACTTAATACGCGGAAACGACTAAACGGATTTGCATGAAATTTTGCACACAGATAGCTTATGACCTAGGTTAGAAAGTTAAGAGTTGCCACCTGTTAGAAATGTTTAATTTAATTAATACGCGGAAATGAGTGAACTGATTTGCATGGAAGTTTTCACACAGATAGCTTATGAGCTAGGTTGAAAAATAGGCTACTTTTTTAAGAGTTACCACCTGCTAAAAAAGTTTATTTAAATTAATACGCGGAAAAGTCTGAACGGATTTGCATGAAATTTTGCAAGCAGATAGCTTATGACCTACAGTGGAAAATAGGCTAATTTTTTGGAAGAGTTGCCACCTGCTAAAAAAGTTTTAATTAAATTAATAAACGGAAACGACTGAACAGATTTGCATGACATTTCGCACAGAGATAGCTTATGACCTATGTTGGAAAATAGGCTACTATTTTAAGAGTTATTACGTATTAGGAAAGTTTAATTAAATTAATATGCGTAAATGACTGAACTGATTTGCATGAAAGTTTGCACACAGATAGCTTATGACCTAGACTGGAAAATAGGCTACTTTTTTAAGAATTGCCACATGTTTGAAAATGAAATTTTGTTCAAAGATCGTTTATGACCTGGATTGAAAAATATGCTACTTCCTTAACCGGGTTTCCGATCCGATCGAAATTTAGTACACTTACTACGGATTTCGGAAGGATGGTCTTAGACTGAAAGTAAGTCCGATAACTCAAGGACCCTCCCATACAAATTGGAATTTTCATATTACATACATATCTCTGGAAGTATTTGTGTGAGAGAACTGAAACTTGGTATAGTGATATGTATGTGAAATCAATGATGGCATTAATCGATTGATGTTTTAATCAGTTAGTTAATTCGATTAATTCAATCTGATTACAGTTAATCATGATTAATTTTAATCTGACTAAACAGTTAATCGTAACCGCGATTAAAAAATTAATTTTTAATCGTTAACTCTTAATTTGATCAAGTAGGTTTGGTGATTAATTAGGTTATGCTTGAATTTCCCTGTGCACAGAAAGCAAGTTAATCCGGTATGGCTAAGTCGGGCTTCCTCATCAATCTTAGCAATTTGGTGTGTATTTTCATTAAGATATATACCAACAAATGTTTTACAAAACTAGGTTTGTAAAAGTTCCCAGTTTATGTATTACTAACAACAATAATTATAATTTTTTTATATTATGTGCTTTTTATAAGCGTAAAACACAAAACAATTACTATAACTGGTGTTTGGTTTCAAACTCGGACAATCTAGACAAAATAATCAGATTTTTTTTAAATTGGATTAACGATTAATGTTTTAAATTAATTAAACGTAATCGCAGCCAGCGATTAACGATTAAAAAAATGTTATCATTAATCGTGCAGTTGATTACGACTCATTAATTTTAATCTTTAAACGCGATTAACATTTTAATCGTTAATTTTTAATCGTTAATCAGATTAACAGTTTGCCAACACTGTGTAAAACCATGTTCATATTGACGGAGAAAAATGGACGTTTTTGGAAAAGAGGCGTAGCTCCTCACATACTGACTGAAAGCTCCATATTGCGTATCTCTTCAAATGTTTGGGATAAAGCACTCAAGCTTGGTATGGAAATACATATGTATGTGAAACTAATACCATACTCATGGAGAAAAATGAGAGTTACACTGTGGAACAAATTCAGGTTAGCAAAAGTTAGGTCGATTCTGAGAGTGAGGGGTGAAAATAGAGGCTAAATTAGAACATCCGTATCGCGGCGTTTGTTTATGTTAGTTCGAATTTTTTTTAATCGACCTTCGAACTTTGCAGTCAAATGCCGGTTTTCAGCATATTGTTTATATGGTTTTTTGGCTATAACTCGTCGACTAATTGATATTTTTTCAATCTGTTAAAGCCAAATTATTCCTAGAGACCTGTGCAACAATTAAAATTAAAAAAAAAAAAATATTTAGAAAATGTTTGTAGTGATTATGAAGCAAAATGTTGGAAATTTTTTTTTTTCAGAAGGGGAAGACAAAGATGAAATTCCAGAATATCTGTTGGACGAAATTAACCACCTTTCTGATGATGATGACGATGACCAAGATATTAGAGAGAGAAGTGATGTTGATCCACAGCCGCCTGCTAAACGGCAACTGGCCAAATCATTAATTTAATTTATTTAATTTTTTTACTTAAAACTTTTCATAACTAACATTTCAAAATTATATTTTTTTCCATATTTTTATAATTTCTTTTTCAATGTTTCTTCAAAACCAACACTGAAAAAATTGGTACATAAGAAATGAGAAGAAAATTATTATTAAGCTGGAAAACGCAAGTTTTGTATTATGATTGTTTTCTTTTCAAACGAAATTTATTGAAGAAACTGATAAGCATATTATAGATCAAACAGAAAGCAAAAAAGACTTAGTTTTGTGCAAAATATGTTCAAAAAGCATGAAAAAATAAAAATTTCCAACATTCTGCTTCATAAGCACTACAAAAATTTTCTAAATCAATTTTTTTTATTTTAATTGTTGCACAGGCCTCTAGCAATAATTTGGCTGTAACAGATTAAAAAAATATCAGTTAGTCGACGAGTTATAGCCAAAAAACCATATAAACAATATGCTGAAAATCGGCATTTGACTGCAAAGTTCGAAGGTCCATTAAAAAAAAATTCGAACTAACATAAACAAACGCCGCGATACGGGTCTTCTAATTTAGCCTCTATTTTCACCCCGCACTCTCAGAATCGACCTAACTTTTGCTAACCTGAATTTGTTCCACAGTGTTATTGGAAAAGGTGGTGTGGCAACTCCCACGCAAATTGATTTTTCTATGCTGCATATTTCTTATTGCAGAGGACTGGAACTTGGCACCGAGATGTGTATACAAAACTAATTCCATACTCATTGAGAAAAATTTGCGTTATTAGAAAAGGGGACATGGTTCCTCCCGTACAAATTTACTGTTCTATACTGCTTATCTCTAAAGGTGTTCAAGGTAGAGTACTGGGACTTGGTACTGGGGTATGTAAAATCAGTTCTAAATTCATGGAAGAAGATTAGGGTTATAAGAAAAAAGGGCGTGGCACTTCCAGTACAAATTTACTTTTTCTTACCACGTATCCCTGGAAGTGTTTGTGGAAGAATACTGGAACTTGGTATGGAGTTGTGAATGTAAAATGTATGAATTGCTCATGGAAAAAATGTGAGTTATTAAAAAAGGAGGCATGTCGCCTCCCATACATACTAAAAACTTCTTAATACATATCTCTAGAATAAATTTCATTAAATAGAAAAGGGAGAGCCGGGTTCGGCCTTATGACCTAAAGCTCTTTTGAGGCATTTGCTACAGTAATGAGAAGTGGTATTTTATCAAGGCCAGGTTACTAAATTTGAGTTGGAAATATTAAAACCCACCGTGGCACCTTCAAGAAGGTTACACGTACACGCGTCGTATACCAGGAACCATTTTAAGGTAAACTTAGAGGGATTGATATCTTTCGTATGCCTTGCGCGCAGAGGAGATTTTATAATTTTATAGTTTTAAACGGCCTAAATACCTTAACTCGCATAAAAAATAACGAGCTATAACGAAATGGGCACAGAAATAAAATCTAACATCATTAAGTTATTTTTCATATTTGTATGAAAGCGCGGGGTGAAACCCGCGGGTATAAGCTAGTCTAAAATAACGTGACATTCTGTTTTTCAAATTTCTCAGTACTTTAGTGAACCATAACTGTGTTTGTTCTTCAGGAACCCACATGCGTTTAGCCACATACTCTTCAAATAATTGATTTACAGTAAAATTAAAATGTGCAACGCTTTGCTCAACCTTTTCTTTGTATATATGGGGCATTTCATGTCACCGCGGCCACCTCTGTGCGCTACCTCTAAGGATTTGTATGAAAGTTGAAGAGATTGAAGGTCTAGGTGACATGCAGCATATTTTGCCGATATGAACTTAAATTACTTAAATTTTAAGAAAACGTCATACATACATTTCTTTAAAGTGCTGTATCTTGGAAACCTTTTAACGAAACTTAATGAAAAAAAATGTATTTCTTCCGTGTTATTATGGGCTTTAATTGTACATTTTTAACATCAATGTGCAACGTATAAAAAAAAGGAAATATTTTCCTTTTTGATTTTTTTTGATTATAGCATTTTTAAACATTTTTATTTTTACATAATAACATTGTCTATAATGTCAACTTTAAGTACCCAAATGGCCGTAATGGGCTACTTAGACGTGTGGATTCTAGATCGCTTAACGCTCGAGCAATATGATAAATAGACATTGAAATTTTCTGAAATTGTATATTTTTGAGAAAAGGTGTAAAAAAACAAAAACTATATGAATAAATCATATTAGCTTCACTAAAGATTTGAAATCATGAAAATCCCTTCAAGGAAATGGCAGAATTGAACTTTGTTGCAAGTTCACAAGAGACGTTCATGCTTGCGACGTGACTGGAGGAAATTTTAAGAGACTAGAGCAATTCTTCCAACTTCTGATGTTACAACAAATTTGTACACCCGAAGCCCTCTACCAATGGGGTCCTGTATGTTTCCAATAGGATGCCTGTAAAAAATATGTAAGTGCAACTAACTTTACAGTGGACTTTATTTCGATTATGACTAAGTGCCAATTACTTTAATCCAATTTTAAGCTAGTTTAAAAGGTTAAATAACATCAAGTTAGGGGACTTTTTATACTTATTTAACGAATCTTAAAATCAATAAATATTTTCTTCTTTTTAGTTCTTATTGTAATATAAGCGTGTTTTTGGTTTTTTTAACTATAATTTTATTTGATGTAATTTTAAAGGCCGATAAACCAAAACAAATATAATTTTATTTCTCATTAGCTTTATTTTTTACACACCTTTCCTTTTCTTGTTTTAGTAAAAGGACTAACCTTTAAGCTATCATTGGAGGTCTAATATTCTTTTGCAACGAGTGTTGTTGATATTTCGGTTTCATTGAAAACGAATATTCGACCTACAATGATAGCTTTAAGTTTAGTCCTTTTATTAAAACAAGAAAAAAGAAAGGTGCGTAAAAAAATAAACCTAAGGAATAATAAAATTATAGTTAAAAAAACCAACAACACGCTTTTATTACAATAAGAACTAAAAAGAAAAAAAATATTTATTGATTTAAAGATTCCTTTAAGAAGGATATGAAGTTCCCCAACCTTTTAAACTAGCTTAATATAGGATTAAAGTAATTAGCACTTAGTCATAGTCGAAATAACGTCCACTATAAAGTTAGTTGCAGTTATTTTTTACAGACTCCCATTGGCAACATTGGTTTTCTCTAAATTATTCTTACACCATTGGTAGAGGGCCTCGGGTGTAAGAATTTATTGTGACGTCGGGAGCTGCAGACTTGCTCTAGCTGCTAGTCTCTTAAAAGTTCCTCAATCCCGCCGCAAACAGATTTCCAATGTGAACTTGCCATTTCCTCGAAGCGATTTTCGTGATTTCAGACCCTTTAGTAAAGTTAATATGATTTATTCATACTGGTTTTGTTTTTGCACACCATTCCTCTTTCAAAAATATACAATTTCGTAAAATTTCAATGTCTATTTATCATATTTCTCGAGCGTTAGACGATCTAGAGTCCATACGCATAAGTAGCCCATTACGCCCATTTGGGTACTTAAAGTTGACATTATAGGTAATGTTTTTATGTAAAAATAATTTTTTTTTTTAATGCTGTAATCAGAAAAAAATCAAAAAGAAGAATGTTTACTTAATTTTTTTTTGTTTTTTATACGTTGCACATTAATGTTAAAAATGTACAATTAAAGCCCATTAAGTTTCGTTAAAAGGTTTCCAAGATACAGGTCTTTAAAAAAGGTATCTTTAACGTTTTCTTAAAATTAAGTCCCGTGTAAATGGACAACCCTACGTCATATCGGCAAAATATGCTGCACGAATATTCATGTCACCTAGACCTTCAATCTCTTCAACTTTGATCAAAATCCTTAGAGGTAGCGCACAGATGTGGACGCGGTGACATGAAATGCCTCATATTTAATTATTATTTATGTTTATGCATCTACACTAAACAGTTGAAACAAATCAAACACATGAAGTGTGAACCCCGTCCTTTTTGGTATGGAGCGCCCCATATATAGACTTGCACAACGTTAATAAATACATATATTTCCATTGAATGCATGGTATAAAAAGTTTTCTGAACTTAATTTGTCTGAACTTAAATTGTAAGTTTCTGAATTTGAATTGTAAATTTCTGAATTGAAATGAAAGTTTCTGAATTTGAAACGGGAATTCTGAATTTGAAATGTAACTTTCTGAATTTGGAATAAATTCTGAATTTGAAATGGAAATTCTGAACTTCAATTGTAACTTTCTGAATTTATCTGAGTTTGAAGTGCAGCTTTCTGAATTTAAAATGGAAATTCTTAATTTGAATTGTAACATTCTGAATTTGAAATTAAAATTCCAACTTTCTGAACTAAAACTGGAAGAGGTGAAGAACTTATTTTTGTATATTAATTAACTTTCACAAATTTACGCACTATACCTTGCGCTGTTCTTTTTTCACCTTTTCACGCCTTTAAAAGTATGGACTTTTAAAAACTACACTAATTCAACAAATATTGCGTGGAACACGAAAATTATAAAATTTAGCATTATTTTAATTTTTTTATTTGAAGAATCGTTCAACTTCATACGGAATTTTTACGATGGATAGGATTATAGGACTATAGTTCTTAAAAAGTAAAGTAATTATTTGAAAAATAAGAGAATTATCCAAAATTCGCTCTCCTCCTGAACAACATGAGAAAAAGCACCTTGAGAGCATATTGAGAACCATTTTGCCTCTACCTTTTAAGGGTTGAAAAGTGTTTCACAAAGGACAGACTTACACTTTCGTAAAGATGTCGACCAGTATAATAATTTTTGTTATATATTTTTTTTTGTGAGAGCTGATAGTTTACGAGTTATTAAAGTTTTAAGGAAGCTTTTCTTTTTTCCAATTTGGCGATTCGGGTACAGCGTCCGATGCCCCAAAAATCGGGTCTTAAGATAAAGTAAAGAGAAATCTTTCAGAAACAATGCTAATATTGTATTAATATAGTGTTTTCTAGTGGAATGGGAGCCAAAATCCAAAATTTCCCTAAATATATTACATTTTGAACAGTATTTTGAGGGTTAAGTTATTGTTGTTGTAAATTCTCTACAATCTTCCTATATTATATGATCATTTATCTTCACGATGAAAAAAAATTCATTCCATTATCTCTTTCCTAACCGAAGATCTACGATTTTGGAAAAAAAATAAATAATACCAAAATCTGAATTTTGATTTATTCCCAACAAAGGTTGGAAATAAAACAAATTTTGCCTTATTTCCCATTGCTTATTTATACTTATTGTGTACTGACAGAAGGAAAAAGACCTTTGTTTATTCCAAAATATAATTAAACAAAAAAAAAAGATAATAATATTACTTTTTTCCACAATTCTACTCCACATACTAATTTCAACAATTTGCATCTAATATTTACTGAAATATCGCAGTTTTTGCATTTTTCGAAAATACCGTTATATGGGAAGTGGGCGTGGTTACAGTCCAATTTCTCCCATTTTCAATACCGACCTTCCTTGGATAAAGGGCAACCTACATACCAAATTTCGTTGAGATATCTCAATTTTTGCTCGAGTTATCGTGTACACGGACAGACGGAGGGACAGACGGTCAGACAGACATGGCTTAATCGACTTCTCTTTTCATACTGATCATTTATGTATACATTTGTCCATATCTATCTCGATTCGTTTTGGCTGTTACAAACAGCCGTTATGCGAACAAAGCTTATAACCCTTTTGCACAAGTGCGCTCGGGTATAAAAATGTTATGTGTGTACATATTTATGCATACAACTTTTAAATATATTGTATTAAGGGTAGGGCTGCCAGACGCCCCGGTTTTCCCGGACATGTCCCGGTTTTAGACTATTTGTCCCGGTGTCGGGGTCCAACCTTAAAATGTCCCGGGTTTCATTTAAATGTCCCGGTTTTCGATTTGATTGCACAAATTTGAATAAAAGTTCAAAAATAACTACAATTTTATGAATTCACTGAGGGAAATAACGCATAGTAAACATGAATATTTTTATTTGATTATCGTTCTAAAATGTTCGTATTTAAAAATAACACTTTAATACCACGCACGCGTGGTGTTGATTGAAACTCAGGATTTGAATGCACATTTACATGTCGGGCTGTAGATGAGTGCGCAAAGATACTTGCCACAATTTGTTAATTTCCAGAGGGTCAGGGTTCAAATCCCATTACAGGCAGCATGGAATTTAAATATATATTTTTTAACTTAATTAATGAAAAAGCTTCCGTTTGAATTTAATATTTCTAGACTGAATAATAAAATGTGTATATGTACTTAAATGTATTACGAGTTGGGTTGGTGCTCTTTCATATGCGTTTTCTTTAAATTTAGCACGTTTTTTTAATTCTTTCTCTCAGTGCACCGGTTTCATTTGTAAAATAGTTACATCTTCAGATAGTTGAACTTTGCACAAGCAATAGTTGATGATTAATATACATACATATGTACCTAAATACGTTAAAAATGACGTGCACAGAGTTTTACAATTATATTAAGGAAAAGTCAGAAGTTTTGAAACAAGTCCACAGCAACGAAAAATTTTACTGATATTTTAATGTTATCTTGTACTCAATTTTTTTTTCTTTCATGAAACCTAGAGTGCTTATAAGTACAGTGCCGTACAAAATTATTGGCTAGGGGACTCTTCATCAATACACAATTTCTAATCAGATCTTTTAGAAAAATTTTGAAAATGTACCTTTTGCACCAATTAATAAAGTGCAAGTTTGAAGTTCCCAGCAAATTTCGTTGATTTTTTGCCATTTTTTTGCTGACAGTGCTTCCATATAAAAAGAATTGTCGAACATTGTTTGTATGGAAGAAACTCTCAGTAAAAACAATACCAAAAAAGCAACTAAAATTTAATAGGCTGCAAAACTTCACTTTTAAAATCTTTACAAAAAGTCTCATTAAAAAGTTGCAAATTTGTATGCAAANTCCCATTTTCAATACCGACCTTCCTTGGATAAAGGGCAACCTACATACCAAATTTCGTTGAGATATCTCAATTTTTGCTCGAGTTATCGTGTACACGGACAGACGGAGGGACAGACGGTCAGACAGACATGGCTTAATCGACTTCTCTTTTCATACTGATCATTTATGTATACATTTGTCCATATCTATCTCGATTCGTTTTGGCTGTTACAAACAGCCGTTATGCGAACAAAGCTTATAACCCTTTTGCACAAGTGCGCTCGGGTATAAAAATGTTATGTGTGTACATATTTATGCATACAACTTTTAAATATATTGTATTAAGGGTAGGGCTGCCAGACGCCCCGGTTTTCCCGGACATGTCCCGGTTTTAGACTATTTGTCCCGGTGTCGGGGTCCAACCTTAAAATGTCCCGGGTTTCATTTAAATGTCCCGGTTTTCGATTTGATTGCACAAATTTGAATAAAAGTTCAAAAATAACTACAATTTTATGAATTCACTGAGGGAAATAACGCATAGTAAACATGAATATTTTTATTTGATTATCGTTCTAAAATGTTCGTATTTAAAAATAACACTTTAATACCACGCACGCGTGGTGTTGATTGAAACTCAGGATTTGAATGCACATTTACATGTCGGGCTGTAGATGAGTGCGCAAAGATACTTGCCACAATTTGTTAATTTCCAGAGGGTCAGGGTTCAAATCCCATTACAGGCAGCATGGAATTTAAATATATATTTTTTAACTTAATTAATGAAAAAGCTTCCGTTTGAATTTAATATTTCTAGACTGAATAATAAAATGTGTATATGTACTTAAATGTATTACGAGTTGGGTTGGTGCTCTTTCATATGCGTTTTCTTTAAATTTAGCACGTTTTTTTAATTCTTTCTCTCAGTGCACCGGTTTCATTTGTAAAATAGTTACATCTTCAGATAGTTGAACTTTGCACAAGCAATAGTTGATGATTAATATACATACATA